ATTAAAAGCATAGTGTCAGACAAATTTTAACTCTAAATATTCTCAAAGATCAGCTGATTAAAATAATTATAAAGTTAGATTCATAAAGATCAAAGAATTTCAACCTAATAATCACTTTCTAGTATCATCTCAAGTAAGTCGTTGCCTGTGAACATTCCAAGTTTCTTCTACACATTAAGAAAAACCAAAAGAAAGAGAAAGAGAGAGAGAGAAAACAGAAGGCAAATTGCAGAGAGCAAACTAAATAAGTATTAGTTACTCACATTTGTCTAGAACATTACAATTTAGTTAATTCCCATAACCCAATAAGGAAATATAAACGAGTCTGAGAATTTGAGTAGAACTCTTTCGGACTGATCAAAAACTAAAAAATGCAAATTGCTGTCACTTTCAACTTTCTTTCTGTGAAGAGTCCCTGGCGGTCTGCCTACTGTACTCAAGAGAAGCATGCAAAGAATGAGATGGTTTCTGATCTTAACAATCATATCCCAAAGTTTTCCCGCACGTTCAATTATACAAAGTACTATTCCTTAATCCTGACTCTATAATTTTATGTTAAATCCACAGAGACAGAAAGTAGAATGGTGGTTGCTAGGGCCCAGGGAGAGGGGAAAATGGAGAGTAACTGCCTCCTGGGTACAGTTTCCTTTGGGGGTGATAAAAGGGTTCTGGAATTAGATAGTGGTGTCTGCACAACATTGTGGATATGCTGCTACTGAACTGTTGCCTTTAAAATTATTAGTTTTATGTTAAATGACCTGAACCTTAATTTAAAAATGTTTCATGTTAAGAGACACCTGGGAGGCTCAGTCAATTAAAATTAAACATCTGACTCTCTGTTTCAGCTCAGGTCATGATCTCCATGGTTTCCAGCCCTACTCTGGGCTCTGCACCAACTGCACAGAGCCTGCTTGGGATTCTCCCTCTTTCCCTCTCTCTCTCTCTACTACTCCCCCACTCTCACACGCGCGTGCGCTCTCTCTCTCTCTTAAAAATAAGCGTTAAAAAATAATTTTTTGTTAAGATTTATCTATAATAATGACCCCTTCAGAACTCTTCTTCAAGAACACTGCTACCATGTTCTATTTAGATCTTGGAGATTTTTAGATAAAATGCATTACAAGTTAAATATTACCATATATGCACAATAACAATCAGTGAGGTGAGTACTGATGTTGTTGCTAAAATGCTTGACAAACATCAGAATTTTGCTGGCACATGACATTCCTTCGTAAATAATCTCAAAAAATATAAATGAATCTTAAAATATTTATTCCTATAAAACAGATCACTATTTCAGTCAGCTCAACCGTGCATGAAAGGTGAACTTAAAGTTTTACTAGAATTCCTAAAGCTCAACCAATTAGGAAAACACTGTGAATTAGTAAGAAGTGCCTAATATTACATAAAGAGTAAACAAGACTATTATGTAAGAAGTGAACAGGCACAAGTCTGACCAATAATGGATATAAATAAATGTGCTATCAAGTGAACTGACTTGGGGATGTAGGGCAACATTATTTCGGATTAGTAAACTGCATGCTTGAAAATGTGTGGAATCTATCTTAAGAAACTTTGGAGTAAGAAATATTCCTTTGTACAATGCCAGACAAAATTAATCTTATGCCATAACAACCTCCAAGGCTAGTCCAAATCTAGCCTAGACTCCAGGATTAAACAAAAGAGAAGGAGATCTTCAAGAGGGTCCTACAGAACGGGCTGATACTGAAATCTACTGTGGCTGTTTTTGACACAGGCTAATGTGAGAATTTAAATCCATTTGAATCTAATGCCAAAGAATACCTGAACTCCTGAGCGTCTGGGCCAAAGCTAAACCGGGTCAGTAGACCCTGCCAAGGAACATCTTGCTCCGAGGTATCCACCAAACAAGGATCATTTATCAGTGTATTCTTCACTTTGTTGGGTGCCAACAACTCACAAGGTCTATCCAAGAGGAGACTGATTAGACCCCCATAAAATTCCATCTCGAACCTCAACACGTAGAAACAAAAATGCTGCGGAATTCTAAGTGGCCTATGGCTTTAGAAAAGTATACATGAAGAATTTGAAATCTCATCTGACCTAACTTTAACATCACTGAACGTTTCTAAAGTCATTTTTAAATTTCCATGCAGTATTTCAGATTAACAGCTGTTTACATAGCAAATTAAAGCCATGAAGCCATTACAGTAATACTATAAATCTGTCCTGTATAAATGGTAGGAGTTTCTGTATCAACAGCGTTCAAATCTGCTAAAAGTAAAAATAAGTGTTTCATTTGTAATTCACAGGAACATATACTTTCTCAAATTTGTAAGCGAATATTTGGCAGGGTGCAAATAATGTTAAGAGAAAGGCTGTTAGGGCTAAAGGCAAGTACAGTATCACAAAGCATAGCTCATGGCGAAAACAAGGAGTCTGTCAACACAGGAGAGGCTTCAAAGGTAAACCTTGAGACACATGGTGGCAGTAGCAAAGCATCTGATTTGTGCCACAAGACTTGGGTTTGAGTAAGCTTTTTTTACCTATTAATTACGTGGCCTTCTGTGCTAGTTACATAGCTTCTCCTAGCCTACATTCGTCATATGTGAAGTGAGAATATACTGCCAACGTTACAGCCTAAATAGGATTAAATGAAAATGTTTTTACTCATTTAACAAAAGAGGCTTTGAAAAATTAACTTTTTACTTTTATGTACAAAAATCCCTTTCAACTATCTTCAAATGAATCAAATATCTTAACTTTTAATGTTACCAAAAAAATACACGGAAATTCTTAAATATTACTTGAGATACTGAAATTATCAGAATAAACATTGATAAAATATCACAATGCAGGGATCACGTCTTAAAAGAGTTTTGGCACTTATTAAAACCAGAACTCTCCAAAAGATTTTTCAACATTAAACAGAAATAGGGACCCAGACTCAACCCATAAACTGTTGCATCAACATCCAATTTCAAACACAAAACCTTAACATTTAAAAATGTTTTCAGGAAAACGATATTAAGTGTGAGGCAAATCAGTCCTTGACACAACATGATGAGATTTCTTTTCATAACAAAACACTAACCACTTACAATTTACAAACTTGTCTTTACTTGCATTTTGTACTGACCTAACAAAATTCAGCATAAAAAAAACATGAATTTAAGCACTTAAAAAAAAAGTGTCCTTTCTAAAACTTATTCTCAGAAAATTCACATTAGCTGGAGTCATGTGAAAGTTGTTCTTTCCCCATCACTTAAAAATCAAAATATCCATATTATTTATGCAAGGCATAAAATGGAAGTTATTCATATTTATCCACTATACTTGAATCCTAAACAATAAGACAGTTCAACCTCTGTATTTAATTGTTAGTCTATTTACTGTCAATTCTCATGAAAGAATTAAGGACTAGCACTGCTCATTAAACTTCATATAACCTAAAAATCCTTTGAATCATGATACAGACAAATTCTAATTAGAAATTTACCCTAAAAATGGATGAAAGATACTAAATGGCATCTTCTCTGCACAGGTCAATCTTCTTTTTAAGAACACAAACCAGATTGGACCACGCAACTGAATGTTATGTTAAACAGTGTAAAGCAATCTTCCCGGATGCATCCAAACTACTTTAATATAAATTTCTGCACACCTAGGTACAAACTGGAATAGATATAACTTGAATCATTCCCCACCCCCGACCCCACTTGGAAAAGGACCTGGGGGAAGCCTCAAAAAATTAAATTTAGGAGTTGTCGTAGTTAACAGTTGAAATCACAGGCGTCACTACCTGAGGGCAAATAAAGAGAACAACAGTTGTTTCTAGTTTTTGAAAGTTACCAAAAAAGTTTTGCAACCTTATTAAAACCTGCCTCAGAAATTAAATATCAAACTTATACAGGGAAGTCTCGTCTTACAACAAAGTACTGAAATGCAAAATTGGAACCAGAGATAGGACACAAGAAGTTCTAGCCTGGAGATGAACCACCTCTCTCCAGAAGAAATGTTTCGTTAGGTCCATTCTATGCTAATGTTTCTTATGCGGCACATTAATAATTCAAAAACGGTTAGTTCGAAGAAAAGTTCTATTCAAACATTACAATTTGTCTTCGCGTTGCCAGTAAGTGGCTTTGTTTCCAGTTTCATGGACTATTCTGGGATGTCAAGAGTTATATTATTACTGCTTCAAAAGAGCCCTTGTTCACTCTCACCCGGGACGTGGGCATAACTGATGTTTAGAGAGAACTGATGCCAAGAGATGTTTTAGGAACATCCCTTAGTCTCCCATCCCTCCCCATCCCTAATCGATAATCACATTTTACCTTGTCTGGTTTCTGTTGCCGTACTTAATTTAAAAAAAAGAGAGAGAGAGAGAGAGAGAGAGATACACCCGCATACACGATTTCCCTATCGCCATCAGGAAGAAAGACCATCTGTCTCGATCTCTTGGAGCTTCAGAGAAAAGGACACCGTAAAACCCACTAGACGGAGGAAGGGGAGCGCTTCAGGGCTTAGGGAGGGGGCAGCCCCCGGGGGCCGGGAGGCGGAGGCGGTACCAGTTTACAGACGCCTTCACCTCCCCACCCCCCACAGAGCAGGGGTCCAAAAAGCATTTCCTGCGCGCACTCAGCACCCGCCGAGGCCCCCGGAGTAACCGCCGAGCTGGGCGGCCTTTGGGCCCCCTCCCTCGGGCCGAAGTCTCCCGCGCCCGCCCCTCGTCCAGGGCGGCGTCCGTACCTCCCCACGGCCTACCCACCCCGGCAGGCTCTCCCGGCCGCACTCCGAGGCCTGAGGCCTAAGGACGCGGGCCGCTGACAAGCCCCTCCGCGGCCGGCGGGGCTGAGGCCGAGGGCCGGGGATGGGGGGGGGGGGGCCGCTACCGCCGAGGGGCGGAGGGCGGGCGAGGACGGCCCCTTCCCCGCCGCGGCCGCCTATTGTTCCCGACGGGGGCCGGACGGCTGCCGCCGCGCACCCCACGCCGCCGCCGCCGCCGCCTATCGCTCGCTCACCGCGCTGGTCCGAGCAGCAGCTCCTCTCAGCTCCGAGTCCCCGCGGCCGTCGCCACCGCCGCGGCAGCCAACGCCGCCGCCGCTGCCACCGTCGACTCTGACTCTGTCCTAGACCACCGGGCCACGGCCGCCGCCGCCACCGCCAGCGCCGCCTCCGGCCTCCCACCTGCTGCTGCTGAGGCTGCTCCTGCAGCAGGGGCCATCTTGTTGGTCGGCCTCCTCTTCCTCCTCCTCCTCCTCCTCCCAGTCGCTCGTTGTCCTCGTCCCCTTCCTCTTCCTCGGGCTCCGGCCCGCCCCGGAGACTGGGGCGGGGACGCTGGCGAGGCTCCTCCTTCGGGGGGCGGGGCGCGCGGAGGGGAGGGGAGGGGAGGGGAGGCGAGGGGCGGGGCGGGCACGGGAGGAAAGCTCTGAGTCACCGGCCGCCAACGCCCGGGAGGGAGGCCCGAGACGCTCTCCCCCCCCCACCCCCCCGGGGCGCACCCACGCCCGGAGCAGCCAAACTGGTCCAGCAGTCGGCCGGCCCTACCCCCACCTGCGTCTTTGCGCCCAGCGGCGAGCGGCCAGAAGGCGCGGCGGGATTGGGAAATTTCTGACGTTTCCATCGAACCCTGCACTCCCTCTACCCCGAGGCTGTCTCGGCTCTCGTCCCCCACTCTGGTTCCTTTACATATCCCCCTCCCCCACCCAGAGAGAATTTGTTCTTGTCTTGTTTTATCCGGGTTCTCGATCCCACCAGCTTTGCCGTGGTCACCGCTCTCACCGAGTCCCAAAAGAGTTCCCCTTCCCGTCGCGGCGAAAACGGCCGAAAGGCCTGGACGCTCACTGCTCCAAAACGTCTCTCCAGGCCTGTGTGAACGTTGATAGCTGCCTGGAGCAGAACGGAAAGATTTTGGCCCGTGGAAGAGTTCCCTGGATCTAAAAGATAACCTTGTGACGATTGAAAGTTTCTTCTTCCGAATGGAAAAGAAGCCATTTTGATTTGGGGGTAGTGGGAGACCCCCTTCAAGCCAGTTGCGCTTAACCAAACCCACGCATTTAAGGGAGAGAAGTGGAATTCTTTTGGTACCGTAACAGTCCCAATTTCAACATAAGACGCCCACGATAGAGTTGGTCCTCATACAAACACCCAGTTAATACTCCTCTGCATTATTCCCTTTTTTTGCTTCAGGTCTGGGCCAAGAGAGCAGAGATGTTGCTTTCCTGTCCTTTCTTCACTGCAGACATCACCGATACCAAGAACAGTACTGTATTTAGAGAAGCTACTGCCTCTAACTCCATAAAGTCAATCGCAATGTTTCATAATATTTGTAAAACACATTATCACACACCTTCCTAAACTCTGAGCGAAGGTCTTTTTTAGATGCTGACACTCTCCTGTACTCAGAATTCAGCTCCTTTTTAGGAGACCTACTGATGTCTTTCTATTGATTGGAATTTACTCGCTTTGAAGTGCGCTAAATCTGTAACCTTCCCTTCGGCCTCCTCAGTAGTAACCCCAATCCTACAAAGAACTAACTTGTAGCAATCACGAAAGGATTAGGTTAGTGTATGCTAATCTAAAGGCTATCTCTTGGATAGCCTTTACCTCCTCAAAGAGCCAGACCTCAGTCCCCTGCTAAGAAAAACAGATTAATCTGTTCCTCCTGTTTTTCCTCCTCCTCCCTTCTTCTCACTCCTAGGGAACCTTCCACAACAGAAGGTTTTAGCGGCTGTTGCTAGGCAAACATGCCAACTTCCCTGTTTAGGTGAAGCAAATAATCCAACTTCCATTACAAGCAGCCTAGGTAATATAATTTCTTTAAACTATTAATAGTTGTATCTTAGTTGGCAAATCCCCTTCAAGGTTCTCTTATAAGATATGATTTTAAAGTTAAATTTCTTATTTATTTCATCAGTATTTCAGTTGAGTATAAGTTTAAAGCCAAGGGGCTTCCCAGAATTCATTTTAATAATATAATTAAACAGAAACATTTGGCAGAAAAAAGAGAAAAGTAGCTTAGAAAATTACTTTGGTGTTTACAATAAAAGCTAATCTATGAAAAACATTTTTATGCTTTGAACTCCCCACTTAAGGCAGACGTATAAATTACAGAGAATAATTTGTTCCTGGAGACTGCATATATTTGGAAGAAAGGTAATATGGTTATTTGGCAAGAAAAAGAAAATAGAAATTCTGGATTTTATTCCCGAATTAATAACACTGTAAGAATCTTAGCCTCTGAACTAAGCTCTTTTTCTGATTTTGCTGTTCAAAATTTTTGCTCTTTGTTATGTGTAGTAACATCTTTCGGAGTGTTGAGAGGTAATATAAATGAGATCAAATAAGACATTGTTGAAATTGATATATATATTTGAAGTGTCAAACTAGTAAAATCATCTAATTTGTTTTAATCCAGTGAAATAGTGTTTGAGCATTTCCTTGAGCTAAGATAACACTTTAAGAATGTATTACTAAAGACAAACACCTTAGAGGTGCTTGGGTGGCTCAGTCAGTTGAGTGTCCAACTTCAGTTGAAGTCATGGTCTCTCAGTTCATGAATTCAAGCCCCATTCAGCTCAGAGGCTGGAGGCTGCTTCATATTCTATATCCCCCTTTCTCTCTCCCCCTCCCCTGCTCATGCTCTGTCTCTCAAAAATAAACACATGTTTAAAAATTAAAAAAAAAAACCCAGCTTATATGTTTTATAGCCATTTGTGCTTAGAAATCACTACTGGGTAGCTTTAATACAACTTAAACAATTTAGTTTTATTTTGTATTTTATTATTCAATTCTGATATAGAATGCCTAGAAGTTTAGACTATGCCCTGGCCTCCACCACTGGTATACTATGAAAATTAAATGAGTCATTTCACATAAATGACTTAGAATAGTTCATGTCACATACTAAGTACTAAAATGATTTTTAAAAATCCATTTTATGTATATGTCATCATAGCCTTTAGTCTCTTGATCAGTCAAATGGCAACGACAAGTCATCAAATACATTTTTGCTCTTAGCATGAACTCAAAAATCAATGCTAGTTTTTGGAGCACACACAAATCAGTTAAAATAATGCCTTATGGTTTTTTTCAATATATTTTCTGATATGCCTATACTCTATAGTTCTTCCTATGATTATGTGTTGTCTTTTTTTTTTGAGACTAAACCATGTTTTAAGTTACTCAGAGTGATTAAGCTAGCACATGCTTAAATAATACTCTGGAAGGTGTAATTGCCAACGTAAGGCATTGTTTGTTTATATTAAAACTAGGAAAGGTTTGGAGATACCAACCAACTTATACGAAACAGAGACTAAGAAAGGTCTAATAGATCACGTAAGTACCCAACTCCTTGTTGATAGACAAGTATCATATTACTGAGGAGGGGTTAGAGAGTGAGAAGGGTGGGAATGAAGGAAAAATACAAAGATGAATAAGTCATGGGTCCCTGCCTTAAAGAAACTGAACAGTCTAGTAAGAGCCGTACAATATGATATGCACGTAAACTGCTAGAGTTTAAAATAAACTGGACCATTACTGCATAGAAAGTATAAAATTATATGCAGGTTAAAAGAAAGAAGTAATAGGAATCTTTGTTCTAATGTCACAGAAACTACCTTTTGACAGGTAGAAATATTATGTATGATATTAGATGTATACCCAGAGCCAGAGAAGTATAATCAGCTTTCAGTTCAAGGCGGGACTGGGATGAGGAAGACAAGGAATGGGAAACAGTAGGGTGTGTGGGTAGAGTTTAGATTAACTAAAAACCCTGGTTAAAGTATAGCTAAGACCTGAGACCTCCCCAGTGTAAATCATTTATGTAGGGAGAGGGAATGACATCCTCAAACACAAACCCATGCACAAAATAGGAAGCACTAGACTGAGTCACCTGGATTTTCTGAACGGCTTTAGATAAAGAGTGGGAGTCCAACTGAGTTCTCTTCGTCCTCTACACCCTAACCCTCCCTCACAAATGGATTCTCTATAACCTACTCCCTCCCCTAGTTGACACTCCTATTATGGTTGTTCATTAAAATAATAATGAAAATAAATAGAAACAGGAAGATATTCCAAGCAATTACACTAAGGAAATATGAGAAAACCAATAGTTTCTTACCTATTTAAAGGACTTACCCTTTAAAGTCCAGTCCTAAACCAGGACCAAGTCAACATCTGCAAAATAGACCTGAAGGGTTGCATAAGATTCAGGGTAACAACCCAAAGTAATCATAGCAGATGTAGCCCAAGTCATTTCTGGGGTTTCTGGAGCTAGGTTCCTGTAGACTTGATCCCAAAAGCTAAATAAACTGATGTTTCTGAGTCCCTCTTGAAATTGCTTCTGAACCTGTTGGCAAGCCCTCTTGCTCAACTGTAGATAGACCCGAACACTTAAAACCAGGTACAAAGAAGCTTAACTCATGTTCTAACTAAAACCCAGTATGCTCATTTCTTGAGCCATTGATGAAGGCATTTTGCAATGACCCAGAACATCCCAACCACCTGACCAGAAAGCCGTGATAGCAACGGAATGCCCAGAAGACCACACCCTGCATATCCCCTCATATTCCTTCCTTGCCCATGATTATGGGCTGAACACATACTGGTCTCCACCCATGACCACATGCTCTCTGCCTGCTCTCTTGCACGTTATCCACCCCCCCCCCCCAAACTCTCTCTATCAAATCTAGATGTCCATCTTGCTGGAGGAGAGTTTGGTTGTCAAGATTTAAGCCTGCCACATCTCGAGGGTGCCCACATCCAAAATAAATTTCTTCCTTCCTCTTTTCCAAACTCTCATCTCTTGAGTTTACTGGCTTCTCTTGTGACAAGTTTCTTTGAGTTTGTTCAGGAACATTGTTGGCAAACCCAGCCAGGAGCTATGCTTTCAATTTGTCCAGCCCCTTGGGATTTTCTGGGATGGAACAGTTGGCCCTGAAGTGCACCAGGGCTCACCCTTTTGTTTCCAGAGTTAGTGGCTATGAGAGATCTTTTAATAGCAAACTGGCCTGCCTGCCTTTCATGAAGGCCCCCAGCCCAACACTGAGCATTTCTAAACTTCAGCTGACCCTTTGAGACTTATACCAGGGTGATAGTAAACAGAACTCCTCTATGAAAAAGACATCAGACAGCTTTCAGCCAAGAGGCCCATTCTAGGCACTGCTTTAAACAGTGTTAAGAGAAAGCAGCTCCACTTGGCAAAACTTACTGAAATTTTTTTGGATTTCATTATTATACTAGTTTCCTAGGGC